CATATATACAGAGATTTATTTACTATACGTTGATCTATTCTCGTTGGGAATAGAGTGTTTGTATAGACGTACAGGTTTACTTATGTTGATCTATCCTTGATCGAAATACTAGCAAAATGTCTACGTAGATATGGAGATTTACTTCCTGCGTGTTGATCCATTCTTGACCGAAACAGAATTTTTACATAGATATATAGCTTTAATAATGTTGTCTTGCCTTGATTGAAATAGAATACTTACATAGATATGTTAATTTTACTTACGTTGATCTATTCTTGCTTAAAATAGAATGCTTAAAATAGAATAATTACATAGATGAGTAGTTTTACTAATGTTGGCTATACTTGATTGAAATAGAATACCAAATTAGATACATAGATTTTACTTATATTGATCTATTCTCGATTAAAATAGAATCTTTACATATATATAGATATTGATTTATGTTGACAATACTTTATTGAAATAGATTACTTAAATTTGATGTGTAGATTTTAATTATATCGATTTATTCTCGATTAAAATAGATTGCTTAAATAGATGTAGACATTGACTTATATTAGCTATACTTGATTGGAATATATATGTAGAGTTAACTTAGAGAGATCTATTCTTGATTGAAAAGGAATGTTTACATCGATATCTTCATTGACTAACTTCAGCTATCCTTGATTGAAATAGAACGCTTAATTACATACGTAGATTTTACTTATAGTGATCTATACTCGATTGCAATAAAATGATTACATGCATTTATACTTTGACTTATATTAGATATATTGGATTGAATTAGAATGCTAAAATACGCTTGCAGATTTAACAATGTTGATCTATTCTTTATCGAAATATCCTTCATCCGTAAACACATAGATATTCCTATACAATTAGAGTAGTGTCGATACTCTGAGACATAGAAATTGATGGGAAAATATGGCTATGTTATTAACCATAAATTGAATTATTGACCCTTCTAGATGGCCATAAAGATGTTAAACAACGATTACAAGAATTTGTATTAAATAAACAGCAAAGCATGTCTTCAGGTAGTACACCATCAACACCAACTAAATCGGATCATTTCCAGCCTAGCATATTCTCGCCAGCTCAGGAAATTGAACGAGAAAGTCGAGAAGCAAATGCAAAAAGACCAACTCAAGGGGAACGAGAATTAACCAAGAGAGCATTACGGGATCCTTTCCCTTTGCGTAAAACAAGTAAGTACATGCATTGAAAAGGTTCATTCAACTCCCTTCATTTCTATTTTTAATTAATTTTCTCCCTTACTTTGTTAACCATCGTAAATATTAATTAACAATGACAGTTGAATGTCATTAACATCGTTTGGTATTTCAATTTTATTGCTACCACTTGAATGGTAACTTTAGTGTCGGAACCCGATGTGCAAAATATGAAAATGAAATCAAAGATGAAATCCCAATTGACTCGATGCTATCGTAAAACGCCTATAGGAAGTCCAGCTAGTCGTCGTCGTGATATGTTTCGATCTACTCATTGTCGATCTTATAGTAGTAGTAATGAAGATGTAAATTATGAACCTCGTCGAAGACATTATCAATCATTTGAAGGTATAGTAACATTCTCATACTGAAATAAGTTCTCTAAATCAGTCCATCAGTAGGAAAGCTGTTGTTTAATCCTGATTTACGTTCATTAAAAAACAATTTAAACTCTTCATTTTAAGTCTACAAGTTTAATATCAGATCTCAAGTTTAGAACTACGTATTTTTTATATCAAAACTTTTCCTTTTGACCTAAAACGCGTCAAGTCGTTGTTTTCTTTTTCATGGCAGTTATTGCATAGGCATCTATTAACTAATTAACTTGATAATTAAATCTCCGCTTCAGTATTTGGATTTTGCAATTAATTCATCAGATAGCTAAAATACCTAATTTATCTATACTAGTACTGCTATTTCTTTGTCATTGTTGTATAGTAATGAAATTGAGCCCTCAATTAAATGTCCGTAACCCTAATATCGTGCCTTAAGTATAGAACTACATTTTTCTATATAAGCACTTTTCCTTTTGACCTAAAATACCTTTATATGATCGTTTTCGTTCGCTTTAAAGTAATCGTGTAGAGCATTTATTCTCTCATATATTTTTTTTAAAATGAACTTCCATACGTTGCGCAACTATTTTATTGGATAACTTTTAATCTATTGCTTGCGATCTTACTATTTATTTAATCAGTCACTGTAGTTAGTTCGATAGTTTCATATTTATTTATCAAGTCAATCTCGATAATTGATTATATTTCCCTTAATCAACTTACTTACTTTAATCAGTCATTATAATGTAGCTTAATAATGGCATGTTTATGAAATTAGCAACTGATAATCAATTGGATTTTCCTTGATCGTCTTATTTATTTCATTAACCATTATAATGTACCGTAATCATTCCATATTTATAAAATCAGCAACCTATAATCAATTTAATTTTTCTTGATAATATTTAGTTAATCGGTAATCACAATTTAGCTTGTTAGTTCGTATTTAGGGAATCAGCTATTGATAAAAAAATTAATTTTTTCTTGATCATATTAATTACTTCGTCATGAGCCGCAATTTAGCTCGATACTGCAATATTTATGGATTTATCACCAAGAATGGATTTTATTTTTCTTGATCATGTTAATCAATTGATTATTAACCATAATTTAGCGTGATAATTTCATATATATGGAATTCACCATCAGTAAATAGTTTGATTTTACAGTTCGCTAATTGAAATTATTTCATGAGAAGAATACTTTAATTAATTAGCTGTTGACTACTTTATCTGCAAGCATTACTTGGAGCTTAAGGTGATAAATTGGTCTACGATTTATTTTTACTCACTAGCATTAGATTTTCTCGTTATTATACCAAATAGCTAAATATAAATTAAAGTATTAACGACATCTTGAATTGTTTATAATAGAGGATAGCAGAAGTGGCACAAGTAGCCCACTATTAGAGTCGAATCCATCACCTACTGGGAGTAAGGTCTGTTAAAAAGTGAATTATAATCTAGATTGCAGATACAGTACTCCATTGCAGATTGTTTCGCTTAGGATCCTTGATTTCAAGTACTATCTTTCATATCGCAAGGATTGATAATTCCCTATAATACTGACGTTTCTGCCTAATTTAGTTATCGTTTAATGATTGTGTTATTGGTTGCTAATTTTAGCGATATTTTAGATTTCTTGTCTATTAAGTTAGCAATAAGTCTAGGCTGAAGTCTCATTGGAGTTGCAAATTTTTGAGCTGTTCAATTTGTATCTATTTAAATAGGAATCACTACATAATTTGAATATTAGTGGGCAAGATAAAGTTGCTGCAGCTGAATTACTATCCAGTGCAACACCACTTACATTGCCTTCATCTTCTATAACATATCCAACAACAACACCACATGGTAGGTTCCATATTTTAATAATTGCAACGGAGTTTTGAGCATAAAGACTGAACATATCCAGTATTTACAATACTACAGAAAGGATAATCTCGTGGAAAAAACATTTATTATTTCATTTTGTTATTATATCAAGAATAAAGTTTTAATCAAGTTTTAGGAATATAAATAATAGTAATAGAGTTATTACGATAATCGACAGTAGATAAATTTTTACGTAATATTGCCCCAAATAAAACGCTACGGTATCTAGCTGAAACCCGAAAAGCAATACTGCTAAGATTTACTTCTTGTCTCATAATCTGTCATTTAAAGATGTGATGCAATCTAGTAAGTGGCTATGGATGTAAGTTAGTAAGGAAATCTTACCGATTTGTTATAAATTATAAATAGAAAGAATTTAAAGATAAGGTGTCGATCCTTCATTATCCCACGTTGTTGATACTTTAATAATGGTATTAATCATGTCAATATATTCATCTGCACCATTTATATCACTTTCCCAGTCTTAATACAGTATAATTTGATATAATACTAAGGTTATTAACAATTGCTAATTCGAATAAGTGAGAAAAGGTGTTATTCTACATTTAATGCACTTTGGACCGTATCTGCTATACATTTAGATACTTCAGCGTATAACTCATTTTGAATTTTCTTTTTCTATTTCAAGCACAATTTGGCGTTGGGTATTCATTTCCGATCTCATCTGTACATCCTTCCCATATGCTAGGTGGTCTTGTTAATGTTGGAAACAACGTTAATTTTACTGATAGTTCACAAGCTGCTCATTTTCCTCGACCTGTTGAACCAGTAACGGGAATACAATCACCTCATAATACACTATATAATTATCCTACGCCACAAATGATAACATTAGGCGACGCAATGAAAGACAATTTACCGCCTAATTTTATTTCAACTAATGTTGGCTCGATGTCTACATCAACATCTGATAATCAACAACCTTACCCTATTTCTAACTATATTTTACCTAATAATCCAGCTCTAAATCAGCAAATGCATCAGTTTTTACAACAGCAACAATCTCAACAGGTTGCTATCGTTTCAGTTTTTATATGCTAATATTATTAAATTAATCCATTCTAAAATTTGGCTTTTATCCTATGTTAATTGTAAAATTATCGTAGATGTTGATGTCGGAAATATTTATGCTATATAGATATTACTACAGCAGCAGCAACAACAACAGCAACATAAGCAACAGCAAATGTACTTTTTAGAGATGCAAAGGCAGCATCAAGAGAATATGAATAAAGCAGCCAGTGCTGTACAAATGCAAGGTAGTTTATTCTATTATTCTAATTTATTTCTGGTAAACATTATAATTGAAAAGAGAACAGTTGTAAAATGGTTGATGATAACTAGATAGTTCTTTAGAATACGATATAGCTTATATATATATTATTGCTAGGTGGATTTAACATATATATCCATTTTAAAAATTATAAGTTATGACATAGATGAATATCTTAAGCTGTGCATTATTTTACTTTCAAAACACTGTAGCTGATCAAGAACGAGTGGAACAAGTACCTAATGTAGCTTATGTAACTATGCCTACCAGTGGTCTATCAGGTCAACAAATAACTGGCATTGCTTATGATAATATTATGCAAAAGCATATGTGTAAGTGTGAGAATCCAACAATTCATCGAGAATCAGGCGGTCGATTGCAGAGTATTTGGGCAAGACTAAGAGAAGTTGGAATACTTCGATATTGCGAAGTAATGATATCATATTTGTGTATAGTAACAAGCATAATATACTTATATCATTCAGGATATAACGTGTGAAAAAGATCGATAGCGTTATCATACATGCTCATTAATGGGGGCTATTGTCATTATTACTGTTATATTAATTTGCTATTAATTAATTTCAAAATCTATTATAGAAAATTAAAACACGAAAAGCGACTACACAAGAATTACAAACAGTTCATAGGTCTGAATTAAAATAATAATTCTATGATAACTAATGAATACGAATAGTAGTAGTAGTGAATATCGTTATATTTTTACTCTAGTGAAAAGTATGTATCGTCCTATTTGGATAAAATGCAAGTAACTGCTAAAACAGATCATGATGAACTAGAAGGTAGGATATCATAACATAGATAGAATCTATATAATAAAATTCATAATAGTTTATACAAGTCTTTCTGCTTGCCAATGGGAATATTACTAATTTTCATATTAATTCTTTTAATTGTACCTAGTGGATGTCACTGATGTATCGACAAATGATTTAAATTTAATCCGATTACCATGTGGTGGCTTAGGGGTAAGATTGGATGCAATATTAATGCTTTAATGATGAATTTAGTTAACTCTATCGAGACTCAATTTTATTTCTCTAGATTGATAGTGAAACTGTATGGGATCCATGTCATACACCTAAGGCGGCTAGAATTGTATGATCATAAATTACACTATGTTATTTCACTTCTTGATTTACATTGACGAATTTGTTTATTCCAGGCTCGAGTCTTATGATATTAAGTATTGCCTTCTTATTTATTTTAGGCTGTTGGATGTGTCGTGGATCTAGCAACTAAAGTAGCCAGAGGAGAGCTACGGGTACTTAATAAATTTTGATCCAATTTAATGATATTCCATTTTAGTCTAATTTCAGCCATTTTAATTTTCTCTTAGAATGGCATGGCAATTGTTAGACCTCCAGGACATCATGCTGGACGTGATACAGCAATGTAAGGATTGAAAATAGTTTCAGATTTACCTTTATAAATCCTGTTGAGAAAGATAATTCCAAGACATTAAAATCTACTTGATGTAGGGGAAGCTGCTACTTCAATTCAATTGCAATTACGGCTAGCATTCTGAAGCAAAAATTGAACCTACGTAAAGTTTTAATATTTGATTGGGTAACTATAACAGCAATTAGAATTAGCGCTCCCTAAAATGATCACTACATTAGAAATATTGATTTCAAGATAATTATTATTATCTGAAATATTTATCTTATTTATTTTAAAGGATATTCATCATGGAAATGGCACACAGAATACATTTTATGAAGATCCAAATGTTCTAACAATCTCAATACATCGATACGATAAAGGTTTATTTTTCCCTGGTACTGGTGCGATTACTGAGGTAGACAAACAGATATTAGAATATCTATTCTGTGAAACTTATTAAATCATGTTTAAGAGAGTTGCAGATAGTATGTAATCGTATCATACTCACGACTAGTTGTAATAATTTACAGGTAGGAAATGGATCTGGAACAGGCTTTAACGTCAACGTAGCATGGGATAGCGGATCAGGTAATATCATTTAGAAGATCATCAATTGCTAGATCATGTTATATATTAAAGCAATTTTATTATTTTCCAATTCTATTTAAATTGAAATAGATGTTAAAATGGGAGATCCAGAATATTTAGCGGCTTTTAGGTAAATTTTAACTATCGAATTTTTTGTTTTAAGCATACTACAAATGGATAACAGTAGTACATGCATTAAAATCGATGCTCACAAATCTACATAGTCTCATATCGGATATGTATATCTTTTATATAGATAAAAGCTGCTCACTTTAGTTGAAAAATGTACGTCTAATATTTCAATTTAAAATTTTATTTATTACGTAGATGTGTGGTACTACCTATTGCAAAGATGTTCAGTCCTGATATAATCTTAGTATCAGCTGGTTTTAATGCAGTTGCGGGACAAGCTCATGAAAATTTTAATTATAGAGTATCTCCTGCATGTAAGTAAAGCATTTTAGTCTATAGGATCCTTATAACAAATTCTAATCTTCAATAGTTCTAATTACTGATGCTTTCTTTGATATCATGTAATATATATATTTTACATATACCCATTTTGGAATTATGGCGGATATTCCTGACGTAAATCATTGGTATAACTATAGGTTTTGCAAATATGACAAGAAAATTAATAGAAAGCATCAATAGCAAAATTGTACTAGCCTTGGAAGGAGGGTAATTATAATAGATATCTACCTAATTTAAGCTGCTTGTTTTGAGACAATATTTTATGAATGACAAATTATTAAGTTAAAATTTTATCTATAAGGCACGATTTACCTGCGATTTGTGATGCCTCTGAAAGTTGTATGAGAGCACTACTATTAAGCGACCCCATGCCTGCTGTATCAAGCGAAGAACGAAATAAAGAGCCCAATCAGGCGGCTGTTAAGGTTTTAGAGAAAGTAATTCAGATTCAACAAGAACATTGGCCGCAGATTAAGCGAATGGCATCGTATACTAAATACTCGCAAAACGAGGCCGAACGGCATGAAAAAGAAGAAGTAGAAACAATATCTGCTTTAGCAGCTTTATCTATGGGTGTTACAAGTGAGTTTGAAAATGTACTCATTCATTTATTACATTTAGATTTTAAAAATTATAAAGAGAACTAATCCGGAGCCATAAAATTATTTATTGATTTATTTAACCGAAATCGTCAATATTTAACTTTGTGCTGGATTTATAGACTATTTAGATTATAATTAAATCGAGTACTTTTAATTTTTCATTAGATTATGCTCATTAGTTTGGCTTTTCCTTCCGTTGAAAATATGGATATGTTTCTATAGTAAAATAAATATTTAAAAAAGTTGAGCACATTTAAGGATACAATATCTACTCGCTGCTGTCAACTTGATTTTTACCATTTCTATTGATTAAGAGATAATTTATTCCATTGCTTGATTACAACTGAAATGAAAGTGTTGATGATTCGTTTACTATCATAGAGAAAGATTTTTGTTGTCGATATAAAAAGTTGGAAAACTTTGTAATAATATGACTAATATGTTTCAAATATGATAGAAAATTGTTTATGATGAAAAGTAATATAATATTGTACGAGCTTGCTAGGCATCATGAGTACGGCATAGCTTAAAAATTATAACAACAACTATTTGACGATAAGAGAAATTTATCACTGCCATCATCATAATCATATTATCGACGTTACAACCTTTGTTTAGTATAAAATGATCTGAGCTGCGATCTTATATCAGCTTCTCATTAAATTGCAGTATTTGAATTATAATATTGTAGACATAATTCATACATTCCTAAACTATCCAAATAGTTTATTTAACCTACGTAGGTAAAGCTATATTATAAAGTTGAAAAATTCTAAGATTGAAATATCTGTTCCTTGCGATGGTCATAATGATAACTTTACAGAAAATTTGTTCTTGTTTGATATTAATGCGCGCTGATGTTGATTTTATATCTATCATGAGAAATCACTTTTAACAAAAAAATATTGAATATAACAATCTTACTTAAACTATACTTATTTCATGGAATGATTACGTTGACTACTTCCATCCAACTTGTATTATCATAAATAATTTCTATTACAAAAAATATGTGTAAAAATTTACCGATGCATTGTCATGCATATAGCAGATGCTTTTGCAACACTGCAAAATTTCTCATTGCCATTTAGGCGAGAGAAAGAAATGTTTTCTCTCATTTTAATCATATTTTAATGTTGGTAAGAATCTTTGGAATTCATGGATAAAGATACAGATTCGATTTTGTAGAAAATTCATGCAAATGCCGCTGAATAAGTTTGAAAGAGTTGTTCTTATAGTCTGTTAAGTTCTTTTGCCTTTGATTAAGATTACTACAGTATTAACTTTCAATTTCGTATAATAAATTAAACCTGTTTGAATAATTGTGATTTGCGTTAATATCGTTCTTATCATTGATGTCTAAATAATTGCTATAACAGGTATTCCCTTCTAAACTACGATACTTATTTACATAGTAATAGCATACCATGGCGCTAGCATCCGCTACCGTAATATTTCTATAAAATATTTTTTAAATTGTATCAAAGGAGTACGTTTGATCTTAAATTTATTTTACACGTGATAACCATTATTAAATGCACGGGTAATGAGCTTTTGCGTAAAAGTAGTTAATAGTCCTTATGTATATCTAGATAATCGCTAACTTTAATTTGTTATTAACTAAGCTATGCTTAGTTACTGATGATGTTTGCAGTATTGACCACTAGCTAATTTTCATACAATGATATTAGTAGCTCGATAGATTAATGCCTACCTGCGTGCAATTGATAAGGATATACCGGTACTTCTTATGGTAGATATATTTTACGGTAGTTTGACTTGTAATAGATAAAAGCTCAAGATAGATAACTATAACAGAAGTTGTAGATATTAAAGACAGACCAGTTAGAAACTCATAGGGTATTTATTTGGAAATGCTTAAATTAGAACAGTTTGATGGATAAAATATGGCAATAGAATGATGATATTAAATTTTGAGTAAAGAGTATTATTATTGTACTTCTTTTATCACAAAATTAACTGAAAATGTTAGAATTTGAAATCATCATATAAGGATCATAAAGGAATATTAAGTATAATATGATACTGATTAGAAATACTGCAAATAAAAATTTGTAAGTTATTTTGTATTAGTTTATACCGCATAAATTTTTATAAGGTAGTAAAGTATCCTTAGCTGTTTATTCCTTCATCGTGAATTTATTAAGTTAAAAGCAATGACCTATCGTAAAAAATTGAATTAGATTTATTGGTAGCGCGNGTTCCAAGTAGAGCTGAAGTTAGTGAAGATTCTGCTATAGCAGCTTGG